TCCCTGCTCTTCACCCTGTCCTTCTCCCTCTCCCGGTCCCTGGGAGGAAGCACCCCTCGTGGACACATAGGAGCCAAGGCTGCCCGGCACAGTTCCTCCTCTACCCAGCCTCCAGGGAGCCGTCTGCTGACAAACAATATCCTGCATCTTGTGGGAGATTATCTGAATTCCACAGCTTCTTATCTGTCTCAGAGGACTGGGACATTGCAGCCCATGGCCCTGGGTGATGAGGTGACACCCAGCCCACAGCTCCTTCCAGATAACATGGAGGATATAGCTTCTCAGGGCAGGAGTCCTGCATGCGTCAGACAGTGCCTGTGTGGACCCAGTCTGATGGACCCCACCCTCACCTGGGGCCAGCGGGACGGGCAGGTCACACGCCCGTCCTCCGTGACCAGCTCTCATAAGCCCTGGGGAGCAGTGTCCCTCACCACAGGGCGGGCCACCAATGGCTCATCCTTGCTGGAAAGCCAGAGTCTGGAGAGGCCATGGTGGGCAGGACCCACAGAGGGTGGGAGCCACCTGCCACATCCTGTCTGGCACAGGCCAATGGGCACACAGCTGCCGCCAGAACCAGGGCCCAGCTCTGGCCAAGGGAAGTAGGGCCCGGCCAGTGCTCTAGTCCCTCTGCCTCCGATGGGCACAGGCTGGCTATAGGGCCAGCTGCCCGTGGAGATGGTGGGACACTGGGCAGGGAAGCCAGCAAGCATGCTTGGCTGTTGGCGACAGCCTGCCTACCCTGACCACGGCCCCTCCCACTATGGGCAGTCAGCCGGACCGGCTGATGACTGCAGGCCCATGGAAGGGCCTGCCTGGGCCTCTGTCCTGCACTCAGGGACCTCACGGCCACTCAGCTGCCCTGACCTGCTTTTTCCTCCTTCCCTGTCTCCTTTCCTCTTCTATCTTCCTGTCTTTCTCTCTTGCTGTAAACACTGTCGTACAGCCTTATTTTCCCAACAACACAAACATGGTCTGCAACAGCAGAGATGGCACAGAGGCCTCTGAGGGGCCGCGGGAGACCCGGCCATGCCCAGGACAGGTGCACAAAATCCAGTCTCACCCACCCTCACTGCAAAGCCCAGCCTTTCCCTTAGACCTTGATCTCCCGGAGGGTACATTCCCAGGGGGTGGCAGCCTCTCTGTGCCCTTTTGGGGTCATTTGAGGTGATTGGCTTCCCTGGCCCTGCCAGCCATGGTCAGAGTGCCCTCTGTCCAGCCACACCAGAGCACAGAGGGCAGGAAAGGCCAGAAGCCACCCACATGAGCGGAGGGGAGGGGAGGAGGGACCTGAGCCCTGAGCGAGGAGCACCCCATGGCAGCCCAAGCATTCCCAGCCCACCAGGACCCAGCTCACCTTCTGTAGGAGCTCGATCTCCTGCTGCTTGGCATTGAGAATGGCCAGGGCCTGCTCATGCTCCAGCTCCAACTGCTGCCTCCGCTCCGCAGCCTCGCGCATGTGCTGGGGGACAGGGGATCCTGAGCACGCGAGCCAGGCACCCTCCGCCCCACGCCGACCACCCCATCACCCACCACTGCACCCAGGAGCCGCTCTGCATGGGGAAGCCGCCTCCTCTCAGCTCCCGGGCTTTTCCTCCGAAGCGAGGGACAGGGAACCCAGGGCCCAGCCGGCTGCCGCCCCTGCTCTGCTTTTTATATCTTCAGCACAGAGCGTGAGCACAGCTCAGATCCCGGCAAAGACAGAGCTGCCTCCTTTGCCAGTTGGAAACTCTCCGGCTCCCCAGTTTGCCCCTGGGTGTTTGCAAATGAGAGGGAAGGCCTCACCTCCCTGTGCACGGCTGGGCTGCCCACCCTGTCCTCTCCTCAACCACCTGTGCAGCCAACCTCCTCCCACCCTGCCACACAAGACACATCAGGACCAGCACGAGCTGGAGACAGCTTGAGGCCAGGACACCGTGATAGGAGGGGATGTTCATGCTGGAATTTCCATGGGAAGCTTCTCCAGACACACGTGGAAAGTCACCCGTGCAGGGTGATTCAAATCCAATGTCCATTTCCCTCTTAATTTTTAGATTAACATATGTGAGAGGTAACTTTGAGGCCAACCTTTTAAAATTGGATCATTTACCCACAAATCCATTCCTTCAAAAACAGGAGGTGCCCCACTCCAGCACCTGGGTTGGGTGGACCTGGCCTCCCATCCACCTCTCTCCCAGCCCCACCCTTGGGTCACAACCATGGATGGCTGTTATGGCGAAGGGGCCCTCAGCCTGGTGTGGCCTGGCGTGGATTCACCCTGTGCACCTGCTACTCCACAGTTCCATTACCTTCTGGCTCTCGCTATTCTTACTGAACGTGCTTTGGAGCCTTACAGCAGAGTAGCCTAAGTTACAAGGCAGATGCCGCCAAGGCTATCGCTGAGTGGGCAGAGGCAGGGAGGCCCCTGTCCCAGAGGACGTGGGCAGGGCGAGCACAGGGGGCACCGCTGCTCCTGTCACTGTCCCAGGCCTCCCGGCAGCGCCGGCACCCCTCCCCCAAGTGTCTCCCAGATGAGCTGTGTCAGTGTGGAAGTGGAGCCCCTGTTGCCAGGAGCTCGCAGTTCACTCTGTGGCTTTGCTTCCAAACATCCGCCCAGGCCAGATGTGCAGGGCCCGTGTCACCTCTGCCATCTCCAGAGAGCCCTGGAGCTATAACCCCACTGCTTGGCAGAAGACAAGTGGGGGTTCTGCTGCTGCTATGGAAACTCACAAAAACCCCAGATGCTGGGAAAACAGAACTCCCTAAAACATGAGCTGAACCCACAAAACATAGCCAACCCCATCAGTTATGCCAGGCTCTGTCTGAGCAGAACGGATGGAAGGCACTGCCCTTGGCATCTGGACAGCACAGTTCTCAGGACCCTGTCAGTGGAGTCTGCGTGGTCACCAGCAGGGCTGGCAGCTCCTCGGGGTTCTTTCTGACGGCCTCGGGTCCCTCTGCCCACCACCATCTCCCCTGTAAACCAGCAGCCTGTGGCACTGGGTATCCTCAGGGCAAGGGGGCTGAGCCACCTCTCAGGGGACTCTGGCCTGCTGACCAGCAAAGTGACCACAGGACAGTGACATGATGGCAGTAAAACTTGACCAAACACAGACCACACCTGGGCCAGGCACCAGCTCGCTAATAGGGAGGGCTGCTTCATAACAGGACTTGGGCTCAGAGAGGTGGAGCCACTAGCTCAGGACCACACAGCCTGAGTGCAGCCAGGCCCGACACCTGGACTGCATCCCTGGAGTGAGAAATGAGCTGGGCCCTGCACACTGCTGCCCCCCGGGCAGAACCTGTCTTTGAGCACAAAGTTCTCACTAAATGCAGGAGGGGTGGGGGTGAGGCCAGACTTCGCCACAGCTCTGGGGACAGGCCCACTGTCCCACGTCCCTGCGTGCGGCCGGTGCCTTCACTCAGGGCTGGAAAGAATTGAGCAGGAAAAGCAGGGGCCGCTCCACAGAAGGCTGTACCAGGAACACAGGAGCTGTAAACTGCCACAGGTCACCCAGGGTGCTGAGGGCAGATGCGGGGCTCCCTGGGGGTGGGGGGGCATGGGCACAGAGGCCTGGAGCAGGTGTCCAGGAGCCCAGCTGGGGCCTGGTGGGCAGGAGGCGTCCTCAGCTTCCCTTTCCTGCCGAACCCAGCCCTCCTCATGGGAACCCGAGGTGCCACTGGGTCCTCCGCTCCTCTGCGCAGCTGTCCTGGGGCCCTACTGGCGCCAGGCAACGTCACCTCTGCCTACAGGACCCCATGGTGCAGTGGCACCAGCCCCCCAGCTCCCACCCTGGCCCCACTCTTGCTGCAGGGACCCTGCTCTCCTCTAGTCCCTGGGGTCCCGACCATGTGCACAGCCAGCACCCCGTGCCCTCTCCCCTCCATCCCCACACCCGCTTCCCCACGACCTGCAGGAAGCTCACACAGGAAGTCTTGCTTTTCTCCTCAGGGAACCCAAGGCTTCTCTGTGCTCTCAGTGGATGGGGCCCTCGTCCTGCGGCCCCATTCTCACGGCTGGTGGCTGTCCCTAACCCGCCCACTCCACGTCCAGATCTGCAGGCACCTGCACTACACCTGAGCCTCCCAACCTCTGGGCTTCTGCCAGACCCAGCTGCCACTTGGGTGAGCTGCCCATAAGTGCACATCCACCCTGCCTATCCCAACCACAGGGCACATGGCCACCATGGCTCGGGGGAGACCCAGGCCCCCACTCACTGTGGGATCCTGCCCGAGCATCCCGAGACACAGTGCTGACCCACGGTCAGTGCCAGCCTGCACCACGGAACCCGATCTCCTGCCTCAAGATGGGGCCAGAGCAGCCTGGGTCCAGCCACGCCTGCTCCCTCCCAGCCCTTGGGAGCCAGATGCTGGCCAAGTAGAATCCAGCAGGCAACCGAGCTGGGAACAGGCCTGACCTCTGGAGACCAGAGACAGAGCCAGGAGAATTGAGGCCTAAGCCCAGCCTGGGTGACTTAGCATCTTAGCTAGAGAGACCTGTCTAAAAATAAAAATAAAGCATTAGGCACATTGCTTGGTGCAAAGGCCCTAGGTTCAATCCCCAGAACTGTAACATAAACAAACCAAGGAATCATTTCCTTAAAATGGCTTCATGCAGGTATATGTCACTTTCATCCAAGATGACCCTAACTGCAGCGTCTCCGACCCTGTTTACAGCCTTCAAAAATCTTCATCCTGGAAAGTTTTGTGTCGCATCCAGAAGCTCATGAGGTTTTTTTGTTGTTTGCGTGGGTTTGTTTGTTTGTTTATTTATTTATTTATTTATTTGTACTGGGGATGGATTTCATGATTTTTTGGTGTTAAGACAGAAACAACTAGAAATCAGGAAGTTTTCTACTCCCTGTTTCAGGGAACAAATCCCCAAGAGCCCCAGGAGCTTCCCAGGGGAGGGGACCTGTTCCCCACGGAGCAGGGTGAGGCCCGGGGCAGGTGCACAGGGAGCTGGGTCACTGAGCCAGTGCGCACGGCTCAGATGGCAGAACAGCTGCAGCCACTCCTCCAAGGGACAGGAGACAGAGCCTGCATCAGACCCACTGCCTGGAGCTCCTGGCCCATGGGCCACAGGCGAAGGTCAAGGCCACAAGTCCACGCCAGACACTGAAAGGCCCTAGGGGACACCAGGCCAGACAGCCAGGGCGGAGGAGCAGAGTATAGGATGGTGCCCAGTCCAGTGGCCAGGATCCCGCTGTGTTTACCATGCCTGCTGCCCACAGGTGTGGACGTTGGAGCCCTTCCTGCTCTGTTAGCAGGGCCAACTCGGTGGCCCCACCCCACCCAGACCAGCACTCACTGCCTCCCTAAGACTAGGTGTCCTGAGCCTGGAAGTGCTGAGCTAAGTACTGCACAGAGGGAAGCCGCGTGATCATGGCGCCCTGACTCAGTGAGATATTCACCCCCAGGGGCCCCGCGAGGCGGTGCACCGGTCCAGGCTGCACGGCGCACACAGCCAAGGTGGAATTTGAACCAGGAGGGACAGCCCCCGTTGCGGAGACGTTGGGCCACTGAGCTGTGGGAAGAGCCACCCTTTTCAGGGCCTGTGGTGACCCCGCCTCCCTTCTGCCACTCGCGAGTTGGGCGCCACACAAGAGGCCAGCAGGAGCCACCTGCTTGTGTCCCCAGGACCTCGGGGTGATGCTGAAGGCCCCGTTCCACCCCAGGCAGACTCTCACCCCCAGCCCCCTTGGAGAGCCCTCCAGCTCAGGACACCAGGGAGCATGCGCCACGGCTGCGCTGGCTTATTTTTAAAGCAGCGGTATTTATAGCCGCATGCCGACGCGAACACCAGCGTGAGCAGCCTGCAAATGTCAAGGGGCGGCTGCCCAGAGCTGAGCTAGTTGCTGTGGAAGGGCTGAGCCCGCCTCCTCCGGATCACAGCTGGGTCCCGCCCAGCCACGGGAGAGTCCGGCCTCCTCCGCTGACTCAAGGGCGCCGCTCAGCGGCCGCACCTGGGAGACCCGCTTGGCCCGCGTGACAGCCCCCTGCTCTGTGCTTGGCTCCCTGCTCGCACCACCCGTCCCGAAAGACACCCACCAACTGAGCCGCGAGTGGGGGTGGAGTGAGAGCTATTTTGGGCGGCAACTTCCTGTCCCAGGCACGCGTCACATTGGGTCAGAGAAGAGTCACTCAAATTCTTGGAGCTGCAAGGCATTTTTGCACAAGTGTTTGAATTTAGTCTGCAAACCGCCCCTTCCACAGGCCAGGTGCCCCTACTCCCGGCTGCCCTCCTCCTAGGCCTCCCCCAGCCACCCGGTGCACAGGACACTGCCTGTCACCTACACACTCGCTGTCCTGTGCCTGGGGTCAGCCTGCGTGCCAGTCACGCCTGCGGCTCTGCGCCTCAGTTTCCTCCTGTGTGTCACGCCTGGTGCGGGAGCAGGTGAGACGCAGGCCCACAGCGGGTACGCAGTGATCGCAGTCCTGCCCAAGCCCGAGGAGGGCCCATGAGGCAGCCGCTCTGATGTTTCTGTCTTCCTTCCCTCCTGCGTCCCCTGTCCCCTTCCCCTCCCGTTTCTTCTTAGTTTCAGCGTGGCGTTTTCATGCACCCCCAGCGCTCCCGGTGTATTTTCGTGGGTCTGTCAGTGGTTGCCCCACAGATCTCGACCTATATATTAAGTGTCAATCTTCTATGCAGAGGTCAGATCGGCTGCTGCAAGCCCCTCCCTATCCAAGTCTTCAATCCCTGTCCGAGGTACAGTGGACTTGCAAACTCAGTCTGTTCCCGAGGGCTGGTTGTAACTCAGGTTGGCCAGTGAAGGATCAGACCCCTCTGCACAGCCTTCAGAGTCTCTCCCTGTACACAGGTCGATCTCAGTGTCCTGAGAGATGCTGGCCCAGGAATGCTCAGTGAGCCCCACACAGAAGAGGATGCTGCCAAGCTCCTCCTAAAACTCTGTATCTGAGACCATCTGCAAGCACAAGGGACCAGCATTTGGGTCGTAACTCAAGACTCCAGGTGTAAGTTAAAGCTGACATTCCAGTCATGACCCAAGTTGTTCGTAAGTCAGGCTGGTCGCAACTTGAGGGCCCACTGTATTTTCTTTCAGGCTGCATCTACAGACACCAGGCCCCTCCAGCAGCACCACAGCTCCCCTGCTCCTCCCACCTGCATAAATCCAAGAGAAGAGTGTGTGTCGCTCTCACTGGGCGCACAGAGGAGACAACAGACAAGGCACAGATGAAGCTGAGCAGCCCACGTGCTGCGTGAGGCTCACAGCAGAGGGAAGATGAGCACCATGAGGCGAGGACAGACAGCAGGACAGATGAGGGGCGGAGGCCTGGGAAGCTGCTCCCGTTCCTGCTCCTAGGCTCCCTGCAGGAAGCTGCACAGCCAGGGTGGGCCCGGGGCAGAAGCGTGGGAAAGGCAGCCCAAGTCCCTCCCCAGGAACCCCACGTGGCCCACAATTCCCCTGCACACAGGGCCACACAACGAACCTGGGCAGGAGTGTCTCGGAGGGGCAGAGGTCCCAGCCCCGAGCGGTGGCTCCCTGCAGGCCGTCTGCGTAGGGGCAGGGTCAAGACCCTGCCATTCTGAGCCCTCCCGGTCAGCACACACGTCCCCACCAAGGCTTGGAGGAAGCAGCGTCCTCACCGCCCTCCGGCCTGTGACCACGGCTCCTGCACCTGCCGCCTCCTCTCCCCATCTCAGTTGCATTGTTGGCACCCCTGTGAGCCTGCCCGCCCTGAGGACCCAGTCTCTGGACAGGTCACTGCTCTAGGACGAGCACACCTAACCGGTCACCGCTGCAAAGGGCCAGTTCCCAAATCAGCCCAGCTCGTGGCCCTGGGTGGGGCCCCCACAATCATCCCTACCAGGCACCCCATGCTCCAGACCTGCCCGCTCCCACCTGCGATACCCTGGCCACACCGTCCCTCTCTCAGAGTCCCTCCTGCTGTTCCCCACTGCCGGGTCCCTGGGAACCTGGCTCACCCTGGCCTCGGCCCTGCCAGACCTCGCTGCTTACTGCCCCACCCATGGACCACCAGGGCCTCAGCGGCTCCCTCAGGGAAGCAGACTGGGCTGTCCTGCTCGGCACCCCAGTGGATGCATGAGTCTTCATCCAGCAAGCCGGGGCCCTGGGACACAGGCGCACCATCCAGACGAAGGTGTGTGTGGCCTGTCAGTGCCTCCTGAAAACAGAAGCCACTGAGTAGCCGGCCCACAGGACTGATGATCGGCTCAGACGCTGGGCCAGGGCCACCATCTCGCAGCATTAGCATAGCACAGGCTTCCAGATGCACCTGACGCCAGGACTCAGCGCAGGGTGGCAGGTGTGGAGTCACACTGTTCTGACATCTGTGGCCACCGGGCATTTGAACAAACGGGTGCTGTGTGCTAACGCCACACTTCAACCCCAGGCAGTCACTGTCACCCCAACCACATCCTGTGAGTGAGTGGTGCTGCTTTCCTGGTGACGCCACAGTCACCGCCACTGGCAGAAGCCATCACCGCCCTGGCCCCAGCTACCCCAACCGATACCAGGCTCCCAGCCCCACCTTCCACCCACACACCCCAAATCAGCATCCCATCACCTCCCGAGGAACCCTGACCAGAGCCTCTCACCCTTGATCCCTCCTGGAGGAAGCCATGGTCACCTCAGGTCTGGACCGTCCCTCGTGTGCTGCCCAGCCTCTGCTCCTGCCACCCATCTCCCTTCACGTGGGCACTGCCTGAAGCCCTGCATGCTTGGGGCAGGAGGGGCTCTTGGCAGCATCTGTGACAACAGGGCTGGACACCCCCGGATCCCGAGTCTGCACACCAGGGTGCATGGGCTGGGCTGGCCCTGGACACACGTGGCAGCAGGATGGGCAGGAAGGTCAGTGCCAGACCCGAAGTTCATCATGCACTGTTCAAGAGCTCAGGGTCCCAGCAGCTACCCGAACACTAGTGACCAGAGCCACACACGAGCTCTGGAGCAGCCTGGAAGTGGTTACTCTACTATGTTTTTTAATTTCCCACAAGAATCCAATAAATTTTTTAACACTCAAAAAAAGGTGATACGCCGAAGATCAACTCAGCTTATCTCTCCCATGTCCACAGCGACTCAATCCCCCATTAAATGAGAAAGACTCATTCAGAGTCTGGGAGGAACACCCACTTGCCTGCATCTGGTCAAGCAATTCCTGACCGTGCCTTTCTCTTTATAACCAAGGTCACCAAGCACCCGAGGAGCAGCTTAAAATTCACGAGGTTTGGAAAACCAACACCAACACCAACCTGGGCTTTAACAGGAGTTGGCTCAATTTCTGTTCTGGACGCTGCCAGCCCCCTCCATTCAGCTGTGTTTAACACCCACAGGAAAGGAAATGTATAACTGGCTCTGTGGGATTTGCTTCCAGAAACGTGAATTTTGTTATTTATTGCTTTTTATACTCTGTCAAAAGGGGAAAAGCAGCCCCGAGGGCTGATGAAGCCTGCAGAATGGCCCTGGCTAGTTTCTGCTCTGGAATCCACAGCCTCTCCTCCTGCTGGACGCCACAGCGGTCCTGTCACAAGCGCAGGGAGCCAGCCTACCTTCAGGACCTGTTCCAGGTTCTCCAGCTTGGCACGGGGCTGGCGCTTCTCCTTCACGCCAGATCGAGCTGTCCGGTCACAGTGCACATGCGGCTGGGCTGGGCATACTCTGCCTTTACCTGGGAGCAGAAGCAGAGGGGAACAGAGGTTGTCACCACCTGCCTAGGCACTGGGGTGGGCACCGTGCCCAGCTGGCACCTGTTGTTTCTTCTGCAGGAGCAAGAGTGCTGATGGAGAGCCTTCCCCTCCTCATTCTGTATCATGGACTTCATGGGGGACCACACATGCAGGGCATGGCCACAGGTGACCCAGCCTGGCCGATCAACACATGGCTTCCTTTTTATCCCATTCTCTTCTGCCACAACTACCATGATTGGTTCATACCTGGCCAATCCATGCAATCTTATCCTTTGGATATAGGGACTGGTTGGGGAGGTCATGTGACCCAGTCACATCCTACAGCCTGGTAGCAAAGCAGGGGAAAGGACTGTCTTGCCCACTGGACTTGGAAAGTCGGGGACAGAAGCAGGAGCTCTCGTGCCATTTGTCATCATGAAGGAAGATCCCATCTGACCACAAAGCCATTGAACTAGTGGAGCCCAGAGCTGCAGAAGGAAAGGTGGGATCCTCCAGTGATCCCCAGAGAGACCAGAAAAACACCCAAACTCCTCCATGCTCCCCAAGTCTCCACAGGGCCTGGCCCCATCTGCTCCCCATCTGACTGCCAGGTGGACCCAGACAGGCCATACCCACTCCCACCCCAGGGCCTTTGCACATGTAGCTATAGCCAGCCCTGTCCTGCCCACCTCCTCCACTCAGATCCAAGTGTCCCTTGTCATAAGCAAGCCTCCCAGAATGTGGGGTAAAGAGCCCCTTACTACCCACTTGCACCCTTTGTGTTTGGCTGAGTCACTGCAGTGTCAGTGTAAGGAGTTCCTCTCCCTGGACCCCTCGTGTCACTGCCTGAGGGCCAGGCACAGTGGCTGTGCCCTGGGGTTCTTGGGCCCCCATAGACTCTCCCATCTCCCTCAGCCACCCTGTGCCCAGGGTGTACTCAGTCTGGGCCTCAGGAGCCCCATGCCCAGCACCTGGGATGCAGGGCCAGCAAGAGTGGGGGGTCAGGGAAGCCTCTGCCTCTGCAGGATGTGTACCAGCAGCTTGGGGCCCAGGTATCTCACTGCCCCTCCCAGCCGGCAGGGGCCCCACACACTGGCCACTCAGTGCAGGGCATTCTCTGGGCCAGGCGGGATGCGCTCCTGTGGAAGAGGGGCCAAGGAAGGACCTGCCTCCTTCCAGATGGGCCCCAGTCCTGGCCTGGAGGGCGGGGCTGGCAGCCCTGCCCTGATCCCGGACAGCTGTGGGCTGCCAGCAAGCATGAGCCTCCCCTCTCCTCTCTCCCCCCTAACCCTTCCAGCTGGGGATATAACCCAGCTTTCACCCTGAGTTACACTCTCAGCCCTTTTTTACTTTTATTTTAAATCGCTAAATCACCAAGTTGCCCTGATCAGGATGGAAATTTTTATCTTCCTGTCTCAGCTTCCCAGAGCAGTGTGTGCTGGTTTCTTTTCTTTTCTTTCTGGTGGAAGGCAGAATTGGTGCTGATATTTAGGTGCCCACCTGGTACTTAGCCTCAAATGCCCACTCACCCCTAGGTGCAGCCCTTATGGACATAAACTCCTCACTGAGGAAGAGGCAGGTGAGGTGAACGCGCTCCTGTTCACAGGCCAGCTTCATGGCGGGCCACACCCCAACATACTTGGGCTTCTGGCCACCAGGGAGGTGGAATCCTCGGTGGGTCAGGCCGGGGGCTTCCTGCAGAGTGGCTCCAGTGTGACCCAGCCTCGGACGGCAGCTCCGGTGACTGGCGGGAGACCCAACACTGGCCAGGGCCAAGCAGGCCCCAGACTGATCCCTCCAGAGCAGGCTTCAGGGACACAGACCGTGGCTCTGCGCACCCAAAATCCAGAGCTGGATCATAGCACATGCTCTTCATCTGGGCCCTGAAAACCAGCGGCCCCTGGTATATGCAGGGTCACAAGTTTGAATCCCACCTGGGCAACTTAGCAAATAGAACAAAAAAGGGCCAGGGACATAGCTCAGTGCAAAGGCCTTGGATTCAACACTCAGCACTGAAAGGTAGATAAACACACAGACAGGTATGGACAGATGGCAGATACACAGAGAGGTGCAAGTGCACACAGGTGGATAGGTGATGGATGGGTAGATATAATTTTTAAAAAGCCAGGTGTCCTGTCACATGCCCATAATTCCAGAACTCAGGAAGCTGAGGCAGGAGGATCACCACCAGTTTCAAGTCAGCCGGGTTTAATGGTGAGTTCAAGGCCAGCCTACATTATAATAACAGACGTTCCTGGTCCTACATGGCCAGGGCCAAGGTCCACACCGGCAGCAACTCTTCCTCCTCCCTCCCAGGTGGTGTGGGTACCTGGTCATGCGCGGAGCCACAGGGAGGCCTGCACCTCAGCCTCAGGCCACACTCTCTCCGGGCAGTGGCATCTTCAGTTCATTGCCCTGGGGCAAAAGAAAGGGCAACTGTGAGATCCGCTCTGATTCCACAGGACGGGCAGCCTGGGGCAGGGGCTCTGACTGGGAAGCTAGGCCTGTGCACCCCAACCAGGGGACTCGGGCGGGTGTCGGGGTGACCAGAGCTATGGGAGGGAAACAAAATATTTCACTCGAGCCCTGGGAGCCGGAGGAAGGAGCTGTCCCCCCATGTCCCAGAGTCACAGAAGTCCTCACCCATTACTATATTCTTATTCTGCCTCCTTGGTTCCAGGTCGCTTTTTAACCAGATGGAATCAACCCTGCCAAGAAGCTCAGCATCTAAATGCAGAGCAGGAGATTGATCCACACCACAGCCAAGCAAAGGGAGACACTGTGTCCACCTGGAGCAGCCCCACGACCCATCCAGGACGAACGGGCACAGCAGAGCCACCTGCCACCTGCCAGCAGGGGCCATGGAGATGCAGGCAGCGCCGCCCTCAGAACCAAGCAACGCCCCACTCTCAACATGTGCACCCCCACCTGGCAAAGCTGCCTCAAGCAGGCAGCCTGGGGAGGGCGAGGATGTGCCAGCCGCCCAGCCCTCCGCTCCCAGGAAGAGGTGGCAGTGGAAGACCCTGCCTCTGTCACTGCGGGACAGAGCTGTTCACCAGGGCAGCGGCCAGGCTCCAGCCCAGCCCTGCACTGCTGGGAAACACCAGCAAAGACCCCGGGTATCCACAAAGCGGGTCAGCAGCACCCTGGACAGCAGTGCCACGCGTGGGTCTGGCAGGGTGGGCCCCTCCCATCCTGGTCCCACAAGGGCACAGGCAGACCCCGCCTGGGACTTGCCTTGGGGACACTGACCACAGCCACAAGCCAGGCCGTGACTGAATCCTATGACAGCCACAGCCCGGAGGGGGCTTCTGGGGCCTATTCATCCCAGACAGTACCACCACCGTGTACCCACCCAGTCTCAGGACCAGTCTCTGGGCGACTGCAGTCAGCGGCCAGTCCCATGTCTCCTTCCTCTCTCGGGATTTAGCAGCTTCCCCTCCAGGGGGAATCTTACGTAATACCCACAGCCAGCCCCAGCCTTAGATCCCTAGGTTTAGAGTTACGCTGAATAAGAGGGTCTAGGGCTCACCAGGTGTGGACACATCACAAGCCAGGCTTCCTGCACAGGCTGGAATGAAGCCTGCTGAATCCAGCCATCCAAGCCATGGGAGGAGTGGGCACAGCTGACCTCACCCAATGGACACCAGCCTGGCACCAGCTCCACGCCTGCTGACCAAGGCTCTGGGCCTGGTGCTCCCTCCTGGGGCAGCTCGAGGGCTGCAGGTAAGGAGGCTTCGCCCATTCATGCACAGGCAGCGACGCATGTGTTAGGAAGAGTCTTCCTGGATTTCCTGGCTTCTTCCAGCAAAATGATGGGCAAGAGGTGAATACAAGGGAGGAAGGGAAGTTGGGACCAAACATTTGAAATGGATCTGTGGCAGCAGATGCACCAGGGGCCAGAAGGACAGGCAGGAGTGATGGGAACATGGCACCTGGCTCCCTCCAGTGCCCCGGCAGACAGAGCCCTCCCCAAGTGACAGCCAGGCGCCTGCCCCACCCAGAAGCTAGACGGGTCCTGTTCAGCCCAACCTCCCAGGGTGACTACAGCCTCACCATGGCCTCCGCACCCTCTACATACCGAGCCCCATGTTATAGATGCCATCTCCACCCTGCAAGGCCCCAGATCGCCTGTGCTGAGACAGTTTAGGTCAGGAATTCAGAGGAGAGGGAACCATGCAGGGAGCACGGGGCTTGCAGGGTACCCACCCACTGGCAGGGACTTTTTCCGCGCCCCACCTGCTGGCACTGATGCAGACAGGGACCCATCAATCACAGCTCTGTTAATCACAGCTCTGTGGTGGCCTCCCAGGCCCACATGCATAACACAGCCACGCCAGCACCTAAGAGCCTTTTGAAAAGAGCATTTGCGTCTCCGGTAGGTGAGTGTGGGCACTCTCTGGAGCAGTGCTGGATGTGGCCAGGCCCAGACACAGAGCAGTGCGGACAGAGGCGGCCCAGTCCTGGGTAGGGATTAGAAATGGTGCTGGCCTGTTACGAAGGAGGAGTTGAGGGAAGGACACACACATGGGCACAGAGCAACAGAGGAGCCTCGAGGCTCCCATCCTGGTCTCCCACAGAGACAGGAAGTCAGAGGTACTATTCTTGGCAGACCCCACGTGGCTCCTGGTCCCCTCCCCTCATGTCCTGTCCTTGATACCAGTTGGGGACACCATCCCACCTCCCACCCTCAGGTTACCCCATGACACTGCCCTGTCCCTGAGCCCCTCCCTGGCTTACAGCTCCCTGCTGTCCCTGGCATAGGTGGATGGCCCCGGGTGCCCTCCACTCAAGATGCAGGTAGCCAGGGCAGTCAGGACCTCCTAGGCCCCAGGCAGACACTGGCACTTTGTCCCAGGACAAGGTGACAAAGGACACACCAGGCCCAGAACGCGCGGTATCCTCAGGGGAAAGGGAGGCACCATCTGCAGCTAGAAGGAGTCCCTGGGCCCCAGCTGTCTCCTTGCACAGCCACTGTCACCTGGCCATGGTGCCCCAGGCAAAGGTGGGCTCTGTACAGGGTCAACAGCCTGACGGTCTGTGCCACTGTCCTGAGGCACCATGAAAAGGGCTCAGGGCTCACAGAACCAACTCGGGCCACTCTCAGCATGGAGGAAGGAAATGTTCTGCAGGGAAAAGTTAAACACAGCTGTGAGAAACAACGCAGACACATGGCACTGGGGGTCAGTCCCAGGGCCACCAGACCCCTGCCGTCACCCGGCTGTGCACCCTCCCTGCCCACTGCCCACCACTAAGGTGAGGGACACACATCCGCCTTTCATTCCACTCCTGGGCAAGACCAGAGAGCACAAGGATGAGCAAGCCACATAGCCCAGGGCAGAAGTTTAGCTCTCACGGCAGTCGCCAGGGTGGCTGCTTTCCATTTAATTCCTTATCTGCAGTATTTCAGAAGCAGGACAATTTATGTCGAAAATCTGAACATGTTCCAGAGGAGCTGGAGGTGCCCGCCACCCCCGCCGCCCCCAATCACCCCCGGTGGGGAAGAGGGCAACTAGCATGAGGGGACCCCTCTGACCCCTGCCAGCCCTGCAGTCCCCACACTGAGGGCGTCCAGGGCACTGCCCATGCCAAGCACACCTGTGATGGTTCTCACAGCAGGCTCCGTGCCAGTGTGGAAGGGAGCCGGCTCCCGACCTGCAGCCTCTGCTGTACCCCAGGCGATGGCGCCTCTGGTACAGCAAGCTCGGAACAGCCGGGCTCTCCTGGGAGGCACAGCCACGTGAGCAGAGAGCAGCACTGGCATGGCCTAGGCTTTGCCTTCCCACTGAGCAGGGGAAGAGACTGGAGGAGGATCTTGGCACATGTGTGTGGCTGTTCATAAATGCACAGGCTGACTCACAGGTAGAAGCTGTGCTACAGGCCAGAGACCAGAGGCCATGGTGTGGAGCAGGGCTCTGCCAAAGCCACCTTGCCCCAGCATCCCTGGAGGATTCCAGATGCAAGAAGACGCAGCGGGGTGGCCCTGGGCGGCGGCAGGGCAGAGGGAAATGAAAAGCCCACTTCACAGCCCAGGCAGGGACTTTCAACCAAAGCAGGGACTGGAAACGCCGCACGTCCTGCTCCCAGACACTTTTCTTCCCAGTGAGCGCGGATCGCACGCTTGTTAGTTCCAGAAAGACTAGGGGAGCTCTAGGCTGGGGGGGGGGGCTACTGCCCTCCCAAGCCCCCCTCCTGAACCCCTCTCGGTCCTGCCCAAGGGCTGAGGACGTAGACCCTTCCGCGGGGGACTCTGGGACCAGCTGCCCTCCCGAACCTCAGACCCAGGAATCCTCTGTCGGGCAGAGCGCAGTGTCAGGCGGCCAAGGGACCTGGCCCATTTCACCTCTGCCCCGAAATGGAGGGAGATATTCAAGGGGCCATGCAGCTCACACTGAAGCAGGAAGTAACTCTGGCCATGTAAACTGAGGCACGCGAGCCGCACACCTTCCTCCTCCTGGTTCTCGCCTTCCTCTTCCGCGCCGTGTCTGGGAGGCACCAGCTCGCATCCGCAGACCAGGCGCTTGTTTAAGTGCGTGCCCTGTGCCACATAGATTGGAGATTAGACGTGACACACAAAGGTACCACTTGGCCTTCTCTTTCTGTGTGTGTGGTACTGGGGACTGAACCCAGGGCTTTCAAACTGAGCTGTGGTCCCAGCTCTTTATTTTTTGTTTTGAAACAGGGTCTAGCTAAGTTGCTAAACTGCCAGGCTGGGTTTAGACTTGCCATCCTCCTGCCTCAGCCTCCTGAGAGTGCTGGGATTACAGGCATGTGCCACCACACCTGGCTCAATCTCACTCTTCAAGGGAGACAAGGAATCAAGTGTAGCTAGGGGAAACCTGGCCAGAGCCCAGATGTGGGAGCAAAGCCACACTAGGGGCCAGGTCCCAACAGGCAGCCTGGCCAGTCATGCTGGACAAGGTGGCAGGACAGTCCTCTGCCAGAGTCTGTGGATGCTTCGCCCAGCTGACTTCACCTGACTGCCTCCTCACCTGCCCTGTGTCCTGATGCACATTCCAGAGCTGTATAAAAAATGCAATTTAAGAAAATTCAAAATGTTCTGTGCAATTACTTTGTGTCAATTAAAATTTAAACATAATTTTATAGAAAACTTTTCCTTAGTTTATTTTAAAAATTAAAGAGTGCAAATCACAGCCATTTTGTTCCTGCCCGTTCTTGCCTCCCATGTTTCCTCTGGCGAGGCCTCCCAGCCCCACAGTGAAGTGTTAGGGGCAAGAGCGGGCCCCATGATTGTGTCCGTATGTGGAAGAGAAACACATGGACAGGGAGGGACAATGGGGCCAGCACACACGTGCATCTGCACCTCCGCAGGTCTGCTGGCACAGACCTGGAGCAAGCTTCCCGAAGACTTCACCTGGTGGAGATTCTTCTCCCCAGAGGGGCCTCTCCGGCTG